CGCACTGGTTCCTGCTGCCGCTCCGTCAGGCGCGGCTGGGGGGGGGGTCGCAGGCGGAGGGCGCAGGCGGGAGCGTGCGGGCGGTCCTTGGTTCCACCGACAGCAGGACTCTTGGTTGCTACCCATCTTCACCGATACTAGGTTCTATTTTGTTGTTAAATGCGTGCAAATGTATTTTTTTAAAGTAAAGCAAAGAGGTGCGGGGTCGCTGCCTGGCAGAAACGTGTCTGGGGTGGGGTGGACCCCTCCTACTGGGGCAGCGCCAAGCCCAGGCCCCTCCTCTCCTAGCCTGAGTTGGTTCGGATTCTACCAGAGGCAGAGATTTAAAAACCCTTCAAGAGGCCTCCCTCCCAGCGGGGCTCTTTAGTCGTGTAAGTTCGTAGCCAAGGCCTCTGGGAGCCAGCTGCTGGCACCATTCCCGGCACCCTGGAGCCAGCTGTGTGGCCCCAGGGGAGCTGCCACTGCCCAGCCCACCCCTCCTCCGGAAGCCCCCGGATGCCCACCGCCCTCTCCAAGTCTCCGGTTGGGTTGGAAGCATTGGAGGAGCAAGGATGCCCTGGGGGCTGCCACGAGGGGCCGCCAGGCACTCCACGAAGGCCCGGCTCTTGGAGGCTCCAGTGACATCCTGCGTCTGTCCCCTGCACACCCCACAGGTTCCACTCGGGGCGGGGGATGAAGGTGTGGGTGCACGTCTGTGGGGGTGCGGGGAGCAGACGGCGCCTTCCTCTCTGAACCTCGTCCCAGGTGGTCAGCATCCTTCCCTCCTGACCTGCTGACGCCTCCCCTCCCTGGCCTTGATTTTTATTACAAAAGAAACATGTGCAGGTGCGCAGGGGTCCTGCTGCTCTCCGGGCCTCAGCAGCCTTCCCAGGCCCCGCTGCCGTGGTCCCGGCTGTACGCTGGCCTGAGCCCCTCTCCAAGACCCACACATGTCCAAAACCGTGAGCCCCCATCCGGCTAAGGCTGCCCCTCTTTGGCCTTCACTAGGGCCTTCTGTGCCTCTTGGACGCCCACTCTCCTCCTGAAGCCAGGGACCACCCCCTCCGAACTCCCCTCCAGCCTCTATCTGCGGCCTCAAGATTAAGTGAGGTTCTGGTGGCCGCTGTGCGTGCCCAGAGGTGTCAGGGGGCCCGGGACTTGGAGAGGCCAGGCCTCCCATGACTGTGCCTGCCACAGTCACCCCCAAGTCTAGACAGCTTCTGGGGCTCCCAGGACCTGTCCTGGAGTGTCCACATCCTGGGAGTGTCAGCTCTGCCCCAGGGTTCACGCAGCTCCCCTGCGGGCGAGGCCCCGGGTCACCCCCACCCACATGTCATCTGAATCCTCCCAACGAGTGGGTGGTGATGGGGGTCGGCCCCTTTCAGAGAAGGAAACAGAGGAACCCCAGCCTGCCCGAGGCCCCTCAACCGAGGTGGAGGAGGTGGGACACCGGGCCTGGAGGCCAGTCCCTGTGATGACCCCCATTTTACAGATGGGGAGCCTGAGGCTCTGGAGGTGAGGTGGCCAGCCCAGGGTCTTCAGCTACCAGAGCCTGTCTGGGGAGGGGCCCGGCCATGTGCAGCAGGGCTGGGCCAAGGGGGCAGCATCTTCCCCCTGCCGCATTGTTCTCTCCCTGAGTGACCCCCACCCCAGGGGACACCTGGGTCCTGGCCTCCGTCTGCCAGCTGCCTCTCGCCCCAAGCCACCATCAAGGTGGTTATGCTTGGCAAAGCCACATTGGGTGCCATCCAGCATGGCTTGATCAAATCAAGCCATTTAGAGGGATGGTGGCAGCGGGCAGGGGATGGGGCCAGGCTCGGGTCAGTGACAAGGCAGCGGGGTTGGGGGCCGGGTAGCACTGCCCAAGAGGCCGGGGAGGCAGGCGACAGGTGGTGCTTGGGCACGGGGGTGCAGGATGGCAAACAGCCCCTGACCCGGGAGGCCTGGCTGTGGGGGACAGACGAGCCCAGGCCCCCATCTGGGCCATCAGGCTGGGATGTTCAGCCCAGGCAAGGTGGGAGTGGCGGGGGCATGGTCCCTGGCTCCTGCAGGATGAGCCAGGCCAAGTGCATGGGGTGACAAAGAGGCTGGAAAAGGTGAGGAGGGGTCCTGCAGGGCCGGGGGACCGGGTGAGGACCGGGGAAGCCACTATAGGAAGTTAAACCTGGAACTTTGCTCGAGTCAGACTCGCCCGGAAGCACCAGCACGTGAGGCTTGTTCTCGCTTCTTCCCACCACCTGTGTCCTTACTGCCTTTGGTGGCTCCCCTGTCCCCCAGCACTGAGCCCCCCCGTCCCCCAGGAGTGCACGGCGGGTGCACATGCGACCTGGCCGGCCTCCCTGGACTAGCTTTGCTCCGTCCTTGTGTCACCGCTCGCCCCGGCGTCCCCGGAGCCCACCTGTGCTCTTCCACGGGCAGAGATGGGCTATTCTCCAGGGAGTTGTGCAGGACAGGCGTGCACCTGCGGGACCCCTGAGAAGGGGAAATCGAGGACCTGGGAGGGGGTGGGTGGAACTGGGCTGGGGGTGCAGGGTACTGATACGCGGCATTTTTCAAATCCTGGAAAGGATGACTGAAATTGGTCCTAATAGACTTGCTGGCATAGCTCCCAGGAGTTAGGGGACCACAGCGCCTGCAGAAAACAAGGAGGGCTGGGGGTGTTTTTGCAGGAGAACCAGCAGCTGACGGAGGACAGTAAGGAAAGTGCCAGGAGGGAGGATCCAGGCCCGCGTGGCCGTCACACCCTCAGGTCCTTGCTGGCTGGACACACGGCTCCTCCCTCCGGGCCTGAGCAAGATGGCGCCATGATCTTTGGTAACCAGTGTGGAAAGGGACGTCCCTTTGCCACCTGCTTCCCGTCAGAGGCAAGTCAGTAATTCCAGTCCGCACGTGCAGGAGAGGACGTCATGAGGGTGTGGGTTCTGCCGGGGGTCCTGGGGCCGCTTGGAGGGGCCCGCACGGGGAGCAGGCGGCGGGCAGCCGGGGACGGCGTTGTTTGGCCTTTATCCCCCGAAACGGTCAAGGGTGGGCGTTGCCTCCCTGACACTCCAGACCTGAGCCTGGGCTCAGGCGGCTGCACTCGGGAGAAGGGAGACCACTCGGATCTCTCCCGAGCTGCAGAGAGGGGCTGAGCTGGCCCTCGGACCAAGTAAGCCAAGGAGCCATAGGACCCCCCGCTGGATCAGGGCTTGTAGAAGCTGAGACTGGTGTCAGCGTCAAAGACTTGAGACACAGGCTTCTTAAAACCTTGGACGTGGAATCACCGCGTGACCCAGCAGTTCCACTAGGTGTGTCCCCAGAAGACGCGACTGCAGGGACTCCAACAGCTACTTGTGTGTCTGTGTTTACAGAGTCACTGTTCACAGCAGCCGAAAGCTGGAGACACCCCGTGTGTCCACCGATGGATGAACGGATAGACAAAGTGTGGCCCATCCATGTAACGGGATCTTATTCAGCTTAAGAAGGGAGTACATTCTGGCACCTGCTGCGACACGGATGGACCTTGAGGACACTGTGCTCAGTGACACCAGCCCGTCACCAAAGGACAAATCCTGTAGGATTCCACTCCTGTCGGGGACCCAGAGGTGCCAGGTTCTCATAGAGACAGGAGGGTGGGTGCCATGGGCCGGGGAAGGTTTGATGGAGGTTAGGGTTTAGTGGGAGTTTCGTTTGGGGGAGATGGGAGGAGTCCCCTGGAGATGGCGTTTGGGCAACAGTGTGAATGTGCTTAATCCTCCTGAAGTGTTCTCTTGAAACGGTCAGTTTTACTTTGTTTATTATGCATTTATGTTATTCATTACGTTGTTGTATTTTACCACAATAAGCTTTCTGAAGTCTTAAGATGCAGGGCGGTGGGTGCCCGTCGTGTCCCTGGGTAACTCCCGGGAGTGACCGCCCCCAGCACCAGCTGAGTCACCAACCACCACGAGCCCAACCCAGCGGGACCCCACCCCAATCCCAGGCGGCAGCGCACGCCTGCTCTTTCCCCGGCTTCCGCTGCCTCGCGCGGCGCCCACCCGGGGCGCATGCTCCCCTGGGTCCTCATCGGAGGGGAGGCCATGCATTCACTGCCTGCCCTAGGGCTGCGTCACGGCTCCTGCTGTCACCAAGGCTAGTGCTTGCAAATGTGCCGCATCAGAGAAGATGATTCTGTTTGTGAGTTGTGGGAAACTCCACTCATTGGCTGGAAGGATAAATGGATGGGAACAGGAAACGCTTTAGGGTCCAGCCTGACCCTGACCCTGACCCTGACCAGGGCCTGGTGGACCCCCAGGAGGGGACACCCTGCAGAGTCCACAGTGACTGTTCCTCCAGGGACCACAGAGGTCTGGGGATGAGCCTGGGCACTGGGTCCTGTTGTAGG